GGGGGGGGGGGGGGGGGGGCGCCTACGTGTTTGTAAAACAAAACGAGGACACAAGGACGCACAACTGCGACCAGGATGGCAGCCGACAACTGAGACATCAAAACCCGGAGTCCCGGAACTGCGGGGGAGGGGAGGGGTGGAAATCAAGCGAATATTGGATGTTATCACTATTTATGACCCAATATGCGCCGCGGTAACCACCGGCTCCACTGCTTTGCATCTCCCGTTGCCGATTCCTGCTCGGAGGAAACCGCTTAACTCTCGGGGAGAAACGCATGTAGATGAGTGGTTTTTCGCCGGCAGGAAGGAGGTGGTTTCCGGAGGAGAGGGGAGCCGAAAGGCGAATACGGAAAATGCTCGCAGGATAGGCGGTTTTTACTGAGTGTGGCGAGTTGAAGCTGCACTGAAAAAAAAATCTCGGTGTATATACTAAGAAAAGGGTAAAATACCAAGAATTCCGGGTTCTATTTGATCCTAGTTTTTTCTTGGTAAAATTATCATTTATGGAATTGGTAATTTTACCGAGAATTCTCGGTAAAATTATTGAACTTTCTCGGTAATTTTACTGGACCTTGGTAAAAATGCCAATATTTTTAATCGACTGTGGTAGAATTACCGAGATAAAATGGCAAAGTTACCGGGAATTGATTACCAATAAAAAGGGTATTCTTACCTGAAAAAAATAGTAAAAATACCGGTTTTTAGGTAAGCTTACCAGTCTGTCTTGGTAAAATTACCAATATTTGGTAAAAAAAAAGTGAGATGGTAAAGGTACCAACGGACCTTGGTAAAAACTCCGAGAATTAGTTTTTAGTGTTGTTTCTACAATGAGCTAGTGATAGTGATTTCTTATTTCAATACGCAGTCCAAATTCAGATTAAAAACGGCATGCGGTGTGGTGTGGTCAGAAGCCCGCGCGCCGCGCCGCGGGGGTGGAAATAGATTTATAATGTCCGGAAGGATTCCAATCATTTTTCATTTTTTACTTTTCACTTTAAAGAGGGGCGAGCGAAAACAGAGGCTCGCCACTCGNGGGGTGGAAATCAAGCGAATATTGGATGTTATCACTATTTATGACCCAATATGCGCCGCTGTAACCACCGGCTCCGCTGCTTTGCATCTCCCGTTGCCGATTCGAGCTCGGAGGAAACCGCTTAACTCTCGGGGAGAAACGTAGGTAGATGAGTGGTTTTTCGCCGGCAGGAAGGAGGTGGTTTCCGGAGGAGGGGAGCCGAAAGGCGAATACAGAAAATGCTCGCGAGATAGGCGGTTTTTACCGAGTGTGGCGAGTTTGAGCTGGTTTTGGAATTGGAGGAAGGGAGGGGAATGCAGAACATGGTGGGTATTGTGTTGGTTACAGGAGAAACGTATTATATGGTATTTGGTTAGAATACCACTTTTATTGGTAATCAATTCCCGGTAACTTTGCCATTTTATCTCGGTAATTCCACCACAGTCGATAAGAAATATTGGCGTTTTTACCAGGGTCCAAACTACCGAGAAAGTTGAATAATTTTGCCGAGATTTCTCGGTAAAATTACCAATTCCATAAATGGTAATTTTACCAAGAAAAAACTGGGATCAAATAGAACCCTGAATTCTTGGTAATTTTACCTTTTTCTCAGTAAATACACCGAGATTTTTTTTCAGTGTTCGCAGTCCAAATGTAGATTAAAAACGGCGCGCGGTGCGGTGTGGTCAGAGGCCCGCGCGCCGCGCCGCGGGGGTGGAAATAGATTTATAATGTCCGGAAGGATTCCAATCATTTTTCATTTTTTACTTTTCACTTTAAAGAGGGGTGAGCGAAAACAGAGGCTCGCCACTCGGCCGCGGGGAGAGACGGACGGGGGATGATACAGGCCGGGCGGGGGTGGAGGGTGTGAAAAATTCCCCGGATGTAAGGTGTCGGGGAAATATTATTGATAAAACCGAGTGGCCGGGCTCCGCGGCGCGGGATGGACGCTACGATCCCTGAATAACTAATAAACCGAGAGGACATTCAAAATTTCCATTTTTCAACCCCCGACAACAGCCCTTGTTTCGCTCCGGCTATAATCACTTCTTATCGCCGTCTTCTTTTCGTACTTTACAATATTTTTCACCGCCCCTCCGAGACCCGGCGTTGGCGGTCTGTTCGATGTCCGCGTTTTCTCGATAAGGGTCGCGAGATGAGATAGGGGGTGTTAGGCAACTCGGGGTTGCACTTGTGTGCTTTCGCGTCCGTAGCGAATATCGTCTCGCGCTTATTTATTTCACCGCGGCTCGTACGGCCCACCACTTGCACCCCTCTCGATTTCGCATGTTTATTGCCCTTGTCGGGGATGATTCCCTCGGACAGTTTGAACAGCTTTTTTTTTATTTTTACTATCGTGTAAGATTTTCATATTTTACAGGTTTGCCAAATCTGACGATGATAAAAATGGCGTATGAACATATTTTAATGTTCAACTTGTCCGCCGGGAGTTTCTTCTGGTGCGAATGCTTTTATTCTGTCTCAAGACAACAAAGAGGTAGGCGAAAAAATAATATTTTCCTTCATATCCGCGTAATACCACATACCTACTCTGGAGTTCGAATAGTTGCATGATGGATTCCACATTGAAAATTGATTTTTGACGAGTATTCGTCAGGGTGAATACAAATTTGTATTATGTTTTACTACAATTTTATTAATTTTTATCAATTTCATCAATTTCCATCAACTTTTATAATTTTTATCAATTTGATTTCATTTATGGGCGCATAATACGAATATGACTGGATACACAGGGCTTAAGCCCTAGTCAAAAGCAGACGAGGACGAATACTTATGAGAACTTCAGTAGTGGTGACACACCCTTTTTTCTTAGAGATTAATTTGTCGTATTGTAGACAAAAAATTTTCACCTGAACGTGACAAACCCTCCAATCAACTCGATACGGAATCAAGGGGGTAAAAGCCAAATTGAGCCGACCATGGCCCAGAACAGGGCACTGCGAGCCAAACGCGCACTTTGGGAACTCCTTAATTAGAGCTGGCGCGAACAACAAGAAACTGGAATTGATTCAGGTGAAGTGGAGTGACCAGCGCCGGCCCAGCGTGAGGCGACGCAACCCGCCACGCAACATTGACCGAACAAAAGTTGTCGCACCTGGAGCCGAGTAATTGGATGATCCCGGTCAAAAACATTTCGAGCTTCAGCGCGGATCGCCCCTCCTCTTTTTATCCCCTCGCCGGATTGGAGCCGAGCGCCGCGCCGGGCGAATTTGTTAATGAGACTTATTAAAATCGAACTTTCCACTTCGAAAGTTCCCGACCGCAATTCAATGGGGTGAAGTTTTCCGCAGTTGCCGTTTTGTCGCTTGTTATTGACGTTGCGGACCTCTCTTTCACTGAAAAAAAAGTTCGGTCGCACGTAATGATGTTCGGTATTCCATATCGTCTGAACTGATTCGGTTTATCAAACAGAATTTTCGGTTCGTCAAACTGAATTTCCGGTTTGTCAAACAGAATTTCCGGGTTGTCAAACCAAACTTGCGCGGCAAAGTGAACTGACGAACAAAGTTTGGTCATATATGCCGAACGTTCGGTTACAGGAACCGGAAGTTCAGTTTGACAAACCGAATATTTTGGAAGATATGGAACACCGGACATTTGGTTCACATGACCGAATTTATTTTCAGTGGTTCAGGGGTTCGTTTATTTAAAATCAGTAAAATCGTTGTTTTTCTCACGAAAGAACGTGGCTACGTTTTAATGTCGCCTTTACTCTAGTAAATTACAATAACAACAGGAGAATCTTAGGCATTACTACTAGCTGAAATTTTCACTGATTTTGATTCTAATTTAAATAAATATCAGAAAAAATTTGGGGGAAAATGCCAAAGCCGT